GCCTCCGCAAGCCAATGACGTAGTCATCGTCGCTGATGATAAATTACCGAGAAGTCATTGGCCGCTCGGTCTTGTTATAAAAGTTAATCCAAGCGCAGACGATAGATCTCGTGCTGCAACTTGCGCATGACAAATGGTAGGATACTAACACGCTCACTGGCACACCTATATCCACTCGAAATCCGTGCAAATAACGCGCAAGACCCAAATTCTACGCAAACCCGCAGTAGTACAATGGAGCCTTTACCGCAGAGAATACAACCAAAAGGGCAGCAAAAACTCTCCATAAGCTCATTCACTAACACTAAAAACGATGAAATTATCCTTCACACGCATTGATCCAGTCCACACAATCATTTGCCTAACTAAACTAAACCGCGCCCCAAGGCTAACGTTGCGCATCGGCACCAAATCATATTTTCGAAAATCAATCGACGCGCCACCCTGCCCAATTTCGACCCTCCCCCTGCCCTTCTATGTATTCTTCGTAGTCGCTGCTGCTCTTAACAACTCTGGTATTCATATTCATCGCATTAACCACCCGCAGATTTCTGTGCAGTGTACAGTGAAATTGGCGCTAGTTCCTTTTGTTCAATATTTGCTTTGTTTTAATGTTCCCTATTCTTCTATTCAAGTTGTTTAGTTCGCGCAATTACTTGTTCTTATAGGCGCACTTTCTCTTTTGAACCTATTGTGTGGTGACACCCCCCTTTTTGTCATGTTTGTTTTAACGTGGTACGCAGCCAAAACATCTGCGTAACCAAATGAAACATTATTTTTTCGCTGCATTGATCACCACACAATGGGTTTGCCTAATTTGATTCACTCATACTCTTCGTAACTAGTTTCATGCTAGCGCGCATATTATAGCCCGCTACCTCCTGAGGGAAACCCTTTGTTATTTAAAGATAGCCTTATTGCAGCGCGCACTTTTCATCCTGCGTTCACTGCACACGCACGCAAGCGCACCTGACCGAACCCCCAGTTCTTAAGCATTCCTTACCATTTTTATTAATGCAAATCATTCACATTTTTACTGCTTGTTAAGACATTGATGTATTCCGTACTAACACCTAACATTATCTCTTACTAATACAAAGTTTTTGTTAATTATCGTGAACCGAGTAATTTTATGCGCAGAAACGGTCGTGACATAGTATAGTAGTATAGTAGTTTATTTTGCCTTTTTGAGCTAAGCTTTAAAGAGGCCTGACAAACCTTACGAAATGGCAAGTTCATGTTCTAAGACGGAGGAGGAAGTCAACGCGCAAGACGAGAGACAGTTTACGGTAAATGAGATTGTTAAAGAGCTGAAGGATGAAGAGTCATATGTTCGCGGAATGTATAATTTCGTGACTGAGTTCGAGCTTGGCAATTTTTTTGATTAGAATCCCACTGCAATTTTTAAGGAGCTACAATACATTCAGAATTCGATTGACAACACTTGTAGAAGCCACATTAAAATTCTAACCTTTTTCCAAACAGAGTATCTTGCACACAATCCTGTCACGACGCTAGAAGAAACGTTACGACAGTCGTGATTTCGTACTATCTCTTTGCGCACCGTCTTCTACTGCAGCCGTTGCACTACATCTCACGCGCAAGGTCTCTCCAACGCTTACTGGACGGTCGTCGGAGTGCCGCACTGGGTCCCACCGCGCAACTGCGTTGCAGCCTTTGCCTGCGTATCGGCGGACAGGAAAAGTTGGCCTAAAAAAGGAAAGCAGCCTTCGTCAGTCTCGACTTATGCATGCGTAGGATTTGGCTGGATCCCTGTATGGTTCCTTACCATCGTCTTCGACTTTCCCACGCTAACCCCAAGCTATTCATCCGCATTTCCGACGTCAGTTATTACTATTAACCCTTTGACGACAACGGCACCCACCGGTGGGTGCAACTATTACTGGCGTATAGGACATTGGCACCCAATTCTGGGTGCTACCATACACTCCTGTTTTTTACTTATTGCTAAATCCAGTAAGCCAGTGAAAGTATTTTCTCCTGGGACAGTGCCACCCACCGGTGGGTGCCAGTCGCGCGCAAAAGGAGGGAAGCTGGGTTCCATGGGTGCGCCACGTCGAAATCCGCATTGTCGTCAAAGGGTTAACTTCTCATCGGAACTGGATCATAACTGTATGTGCGCAGTTTCGAGCAAGGACCGGCATGCCATGGAGGATTATTCCACGCGACCACGGGTGAGGTTTATAATTTTGATGGTGGCGGTACCCCGATAACCCTCTGCGCTGCTGATCATTCCCCGAACGGCCCCTGGAGTGCAGCCCGTGGAAGGTGGAATCCCGGTCGTCGTAAGGATAAGTGGAGTGGGAACTCCTGCTCCGCTGCGAGTGGCGACCGGATGTGCCGAACGTCCCCCGGCTAACACCACTGCGCATGAGCAGGAGGGTTGGCGCGCATTATCGACCCCTGGTGAGGTGAGGTACCTCCCCGTAGGATTTTCAGCTAAGCTCCCTTTTGCTTTGTAATTAGGCATAAAGCCACTTTTTCATTTTGTGTTTTGTTATGTAGCAAGAGTAGTCCATCTCTTACATATTTACTTTATATTTACTTTGATCATGATAAACCACATCCCTTTTCTCATTAGATTTCTTTACTCTTTCACTCGCATAACATGTCTAACAAGTTTAACAATGACACAATCGATAACATTGGTGAACCTTAACCTCAATCTCTGAGTGCAGCATGTCGTGGGTAGCGCAGGACCATCTTCGAGCGCAAGGTCACATCGTTGGTCGTAATCGATTTGCAGGAACATACTTAACTTCAAGGGGCATCGCACGAGGAGGAGGACCGCAGGCACCGTGGCAAGGCCAGGTTATCATGCGCAACTCCCTTGTGTTTGGTCAGATGTCACGGCGGCGCACACCCCATAAGTTCTAGTCGTCATCTTGGATTGCCTTACGGGATGGGCGTTCGTCGCGACATCCCTCAAGTTTGGACCATACACACTAGTCAAGTGGATTGCGGTCCGAAGGACACATCTCAAAAATGTCCATTATGAAAATCTTATATCTTCCCTCCAGTCGGTTCGCCCGGCTAAAACCGAGCTTCCTCCTTCTTCAGCAAAGTTGTAGTAAACGACTAATGTAAGTCTCCACTCCTTTTTGAAACGAATATTTTCCTGGCACAGGACTAACAGAGCAGCGCAAATGGTCTCCAGTGTAAGTCGGTGCTAACGCCTCTAGTTGGTCGATCTTTTGCTATCTTTCTTAAAAACCAGTCCTCAATAAAGACCCAACTGTTAGGTAACCAAAACCTTGGGCGGTACTCACAAATGTTTCGAGTGACGATAACACACTATCAGATAATATCAATGGACCTTTCTCTTTACAGAGATAACATTAGTTAAGAATTCTAGATAACTGGCGGTGGCCTAACTTTTGCCGCATATGATATTGAACAAAGAGGATCCTCCATTGAGTGACATCCTCGCTGGGTAGTGGTCGTAGTCTGATAGCAAGAAACGATCAAGATTCTCATCTGCTTATCATTGTGCGGCTGATGTTTCCCTATCACCGCCCTTACCACTCGCGTTAGTCACCCTACCCTACCATCCCGTCTTATCGTGTGAAACTTACTGAACAGTCAAAACTGCATCGTAAAAACCGAAGCGGTTAATTGTGATGGGCAGGTATCTACTGCTCTCTTGAATCCCTTATCTTCTTTTATCAGTCATTATCGGTTCCTGTCACCGAACACCTACGATACCGTCATATCCCACATCACTTATTGAAGTGCGGAGGTTAGACTATTTATACGGAAAGCTGTAATCCTACCAAGCTTAAACTCAGGTACACTGGGCAGGAGTTATGAATTTCGGTCGGACACACACACCGACACACTAACAGACACACTTAGTGAACTATATAGAGTAGGACAGTTTAGCGAAACAAAAAGAAGCGGCATCGGTCTGATGGCACAGGCTAAAGCTCAGACCGTCGTGGAAGCCGGAAAATAGCTGTGAAGAGCGATTCGTCATTTCTAAGCGGCTTCAGCATTCGTAGTGGAGAGCATACGTGTACTCTGAGACTTTGACATTTTTCATACGCCAGCATCTCTTCCTCAGCCCAGGAAAAACAGGGTAAAAGCGCGCGCATTGCACGACATATGTTCTTCCATCCGGAGTTCTTCTCTACAAAAAGCTTGTGAAACCTGAGAGACTTATCTCTATACAATTTTACTAGCTGAGGAAGAGCTTCATGCCTTGAAATAACAGGCATAGCCAACTCAGCATTGCACGTTTCCGCTCCTTGCTTTGTCGTTGGCTCATTCATGCAATGTGACGGAATAGAGTGCCGTGCCAGGGCCGTCCAAACGATGAGCGACCTCAGAAAGGGGTTCAACAGATGCGCGCAAGGACGGAAAGGCTAACGGATGAAGGCGAGGCTTTGCAACTTGTAGGAACTAACTAAATGAAAGCACCAAAAAAGTGCCTAGGTATATCATACACATATCAGAAAGTCCACAAGTGGAAAAACTTCCCAAACGAAAAATTACGCGCTCTTGTAACGTACTTGCCATATTTAACCCATTCACGACCGCGTGGCCCGCCGGCGATCCACACCCTATATTGCTCCTGTAGAATTTCTATCATTTATCAAGTGTTCTTGTTGTTTCTTTTTTCATGTTCTCAAGTATCAGCTGAGCTCACAGCCTTCTAGAGAATCTTGAGGCATTGTAGTTCAGGAATCTTTCAATTCCAACTACAATCATCAGAGAAATTAAAGGTTAATGTAAGGACCATATAAAAGGTGCGGTCGCCAATGGGTTAAGGAGCACCCTGTATTTATTCCAGATTATTCTCCCTGTTTTAATACAGAGCTAATCTACGATACAAGCTGAGCAATCAATGATTTGCCGAATGTAACACTAGAAGTTGAAGTTTGCCGCATTGTTTTGCAAGTTGGTAAGATACACTACATATCGTCACTTCATGGTCTGCTTCACTCATGGGTTCGTCTTCAGCTTAAATTTGGAATAACTCAGATGTAACACAGTCTATTGTCATACCGAAAAAGGGCTCTTGGACGTGGTCGCCTCATTTTCAGTTTCCCCTCACCACTGTGAACCACAAATTCTCTTGCCAATCCGAAATCCAAAATATGAATAAATCTGTATTCTGGTGTCCCGATTCGCCCAATAGCCATATTTGCCGGTTTGATATCTCTGTGCACGAAACCGACCTGAAATAACATTATTCTTTTACCTCTACTCGAAACTCGAAAACGAATGCTCGCCTCCCAGGTTGGAAACGGGGGTGTTATTTTTATGGTTCACTTAACCAATTTTTTTCCCATTTCACGTGGTGGATTTTGACGCTTAGTGAGTAATTCAGCGGGAAATTGTAAGCAAAATTCTTGCGACTGCCCTTATTCGCTTAACATTGCTTCAACTTGCCTTTGAAAGGCCTAACGCTTCAGTAATTCACCATATAGTTCTCCAACACACTTCACAAAAACTGAAATTTGAAGCGCTTGTTAGCGGTATTGCGCTAGATGACAAAGGACGTAGTGACTTGGGTTGCTCATATTGTGAAACTAGAGAGCACATGCATGGTGAGGAATGTGCTCGTCGGGAAAGGATAATGGCGCTTTAGCTCCAACCGAGTCAGGAAACCATCTTGAGATAATGCTCTTGAAAAACGAAACATATGTATATCGCTATGAGGGATTCTATATTCATTAGCTTTTTTCAGGCATAGCCAGGCCTCATTTGAGAAGATAAGTCAACTGGCTCCCAGGTGATTAGGGGGCACTTCAATCATAATCAGTTTTGGCTTACTGCTCACGATTTTTTGTTCGTTGCTGTTATATCACCGCAATACGCGATCAGAAGGTCTCACAAGGTTGGCGATTTATGGGCAAAACTTCGCTTTCGGACGGGACTCGAGCCCGTACGTGTGCTCGCAGGCTACAGTGCTCGTTATTCCCTACATCATCGTGACCCAGGTTGCCCTAACCTTTTTGATGGCTTCTGAGAAAAGCTTTTCAGCACCCACACTCACCAACCTTGTAATTTTTAGCATTTCTACTCATAAAATTGGGGATCATTTCGGGTATATTTCAGATAATCCGAATAATTGTGATTGAACAAGAATGTGAACATAAACACACATCATGTATTTGCTTCAGGCTGAAGAGTACATTAATGCCGATTCTTACTTGCGTTGAGACGCTAAAAACTTTACCAAGCCTCCTGCAATGTAGTGTGATCAATAATAAGAAAACATTGGTTGATCTTTCCGGGACCGATTACTTTGTAATGTGTCGTAAACTTTCTCCCAACAACGTCATGACCATGTAGCTATACGATTCCCTTTTACCAGAATGCAGAAGTTGAGTAACATACGGNTTATTTTTGAGCCGCCGTAAAACCTGCAAAAGTGTTCCTAAGACATTAGGATGAGTAGTTTGGTAAAGACCACCCAACTAAGGTGTTATAGAGAACTGCCGAACATAGGTCTCATAGGAACAATCTTCACTTACTTGAACTTCAAGTTTCAAAACGCTTCCACCTGACACAAAGTTTGATTCGGCTTTCAATGCTGCCTGCAAGTTCATCGGATATTTGTGTGGTGTACGTAAGGTGGCATAGTAGTAAGTGGCGCACTATCACACACGCAGAGCCTTTGTTGGACTCCGGATCGATATCCGTAAAGGCCAACTGAGCTCTGCATACCCCCGGGTTTATTCAACTAATAGTTAATTATCGAACTCGTCTGAGCGTATATAAGCGTTGACTTATATAGGCCACTGTAAGTTGCTGTGTAGGCCACACAAGCATTCGAACTGCTACTACCATTTCGAGTAAGAGTTCTCCCTCTATTTATGGCTAGTGGTGGTGAAGTAGTGTCCAGCGGTGCATTTTCAAACGCTGATTCAAAAACTTAATTCCATAGAATAAACGCTCATGCCAACAAAGCATCCATCCCTACACTACCGGTTGATTCATACCGATGGAATGAAGCATTGACCGAATGCTCGACTGGCCTTTTTGGGTCTTCGCAACCTTCCTTTCTTAATCTCTACAAACTTAGACAAGCATCTCGGTTCTAGGTCACTCCGCTACTAAATCTATTAGTACACATGCTCGTGACTGTAAGTATCCTAGTGTACTATCAGGGTGTCCATAAAGTTCGTTGGCCATTTGTAAACAGTGTCGCGTTACGCAACGCGTTGCGATTTTGCTCAATGATTTCGCAATACTGAAAGTACTTGCGATGGGCTATCTTCTGAGCTAGCTAGCTCTAAATTTCCTTTCCTACTCTTCCCACAATCAAGCAGTGAAGATGAGTGATAGTCACCACCACCACCGAAGTTTGCTGGACTACTACAACCTAGGCATCTTCATACTTCAATCCACGCCCAAGATGCGTCAGCAGTTTGGTGATAACACCCCTTCCAAGGACTGGATGTCAAAATGGTGGATTCGCTTCACCAATGGAAACTATGGCATTGAAGATATACCGAAGTCCGGTCGCCCAGCCACCGTCGATCGACAAGGCATTCTGGATGCCCTGGAAGATAAACCGACGACGTCCTTACGCGAGTTAAGCAAGGTCACCCAGGTACCCCGTTCCACCACCCACAAAGTCCTTATTGAACCTGGCAAAGGGTCGCAGAAGCATCGAGTTGTCCCTCACGATCTCACGCCGGCACAGGCAATGAAGCGGGTTGAGGTGTGCACCGACAACCTTAGACTCAGAGGCCTGAGGAAGATTCTGGACTCCCTCATTTGCTAAGATGAGAAGTGGGTCTAATACTCTAATCCTGCCAACGAACCAGTCTGGGTGGATTTCGATGCGCCCCGCCAAGCCGTGCAAAGAGAAATATGCATGGAAAGAAGCGCCTTCTGTCATTCTGGTTCCATGGCCACGGCGTCGTTCACTACAGCATCCTACCCAAAAATGCCACAGTGACCCTCTCTGAAGAATTGCAGGAGGTCAAGGTGAAAGCTGCCACCTTTTCCTAGAAATTGTCGCCTGAGTTTGTCAGCCTCACTTCAACTAGCCGATCCTTTTTTAGTTACCTAAGTATTGAGTACATAGCAAGCAACAGGGTAGAGCACAAACAGTCTACAGACTTAAGTCGGATCACTCCGTTTACCCCAGCTGTATTCTCTCGCGTAACAATGCTGGAAGACTCAGCCAATTCTTTGGCTGAGTCTTCTATCATTCCAACATTATAAATCAAACGATCTCTGACAGCACAAATCGAATCTGCTTACGGAAGCTCAATTTGTAGCCAGCGGTCTTAGCAATAGCCATCCGTTGGAAATTTCATTTAATGGATTTGTTTCAATGGATTTGAGAACAGTATCGACTTTTCTATCATCTACGATGCTTTATATCATCACGCATACATATAAGCTACTAGTCGGATTCCTCAGATTACTGGTGCTCGTGATAGAGTTGATTTCTTCATTAGAAAAGTAAGGTCACCGCGCTGGCGGCAGTCCTGAGGTGCGTTTGGCGTTTTGCGGGATCCAGCACGGTGCTACTACTGCCGGTTACAGTACTCATAGATATAGCGAGGTGCTGTAGCTATACGGTAATTACGGTAGAGTCACCACAGCACCTCTACCGTACCAGAACATTGTGTCACTCCAGCCCTCTCGCCACCGACCTATTGGGATTATGGGACACCCATTCTAAGCCTCTACGCTACTATACCAATGCGAATGCCTCTCCCCCCCCCCCCCTGTAACATCTACCCCTCTCTTTGAACTGCCCTCTAGACCCTCTTTCGAATTCCCCGGCCTTCCCGCCCCCTACTCCTACCCCGCTGCTCTCTTTTCAAACCCATCCCTGAACAGAATATTACATGGGGGTGTAAGAAGCAGGGCAGGGTATTGTACCCCTAGCTCCCATCTTAACAAAGAGCTGGGGCAGTGGAAAGTACGGGCTAGTTCGGTGGTGCAGTTGTTCAATTAAGACCGCACCACTGGACCGGCTACCGTACCCCATTATCAGCAAATCCTATCTAACCTTGCCCCGTTTCCCCACACTGATTCACCTTCACCAGCCCGGATTCGAAAGACTCCTTAAATCCCGTAAAAACTCAGCTACATTATCCCCTCCCCCTGCGACTGAGTTTCTTCAAAGTCTTCTCCACAGAAGCTATATGACTGTTGCGGCTTCTGTCGTGTGCAATGTTCGGTAGGCTGCCGTGGAAGGATGCGGAATCCCCTTGTTTTGCACAGTGAGATGGGCTGAGCACCTTCCTGGGCTGACGTTCACCACAAAATCACATGACTTGTCTGCCCATCGGGTCATGGATTCCTCGGCTTTAGCGACGGCATCCCCGATCTTCGCTCGTTAACGGGGGTCGTTTCTGGTTCTCTCGCCACGGTGCTCCACTGCAGCATCCTACCCAACAATGCCACAGTGACGGCAAAGACCCTCTCTAAAGAATCGCAGGAGGTCGAGGTGAAGGCTGCCGCCTTGTCCCAGAAGCTTGCATATCCGTGGTTGCTCTGGAACAACGCGCACCCCACAAAGCGAGAGATATTCAGGCCTGGACAGGCTGGGCATCAAAGCGGTTACGCATCCACCGTGTAGCCCGGACATAAGTCCATGCGATTACCGCATCTTCCGGTCCATGCAAAATTTCTTAGACGGAAAACAGCTGAAGAACGAGGGCGACCTCGAGGACGTCATCGAAGACTGGGCCGGGTCGCAGCCAGCCGGCTTTTGAGAGGATGGAGTTGCCTCTCTACCAGATCGTTGGCGAAAGGTGCTGGGTATGCATGGAGATCATATCATGGACCAGTAATTTTGACTTGGTGAGTTCTCTTTACAATCTCTGAAAAAACGAATGGCCAACGAACTTTATGGACACCCTTTTAAATATGATTCGTTGAGGGTGCTTCTTGGTGCGTGCTTCTGTGTGTGTATGTGTACGCGTGTGAGGGTGTGTGTATGTGCCAGAGTGTGTGTGCATGGGCGTGTGTGTGATGTGCGTGCGTGTGGGTCAGGACTCGTACATACGTACGGGTAAGTGTAGAGGGTGTGCATGTGCATGGGTATGGGCATAGGTGTGCGTGGGTGCGTGGGTGGGTGTGTGCACATGGGTTGCGTACGTGGCGCATGTGTGTCAGGATATCACGTTGTGTGCGTTTATGGGTGTATGTGCACATATATGTTCATGGGTGTGTTCATAGGTGTGTGCATGTGTGTGTGTGTGTGCCTGGGTGTGTGTGTACGTAGCGTTTGTGTGTGTGAGTGTGCCAGGATGTATGTATGCGTCAGGGTGTGTGTCTATCTTATCTTGTCATACACCTCTGAGATTTGGGCCTATGCGAACAGGATGAGTATTTGGTCAGCGCCACAGAGCATGCTGTGGAAGACACTATGCTTGCAGTTTCTATACAAACACGAATTTAGAAGTCCGACCCCCGTTAACGAGCGAAGATCGGCTTGCAGTCGCTAACGCCGAGGAAACCATGATGCGATGGGCTGGACAAGTCATGTGATTTTGTTTAATTAACACATCAATCCGATTGTATAGACAGTGATAGCAAAACTGTTCCTAAAGCGTGCGTCCCTATCATCATCATCATCATCATCAGCGTCACTATCATTCTTTTTTGTTACCCATTTTGTAGCTCATTCGGGTTGTATCAGTTCAGACTGCTTGAGTGATAAAGGTTGTGATAGCAATTGACCAATGGTTTCGATCAAGAAACTGAGACGATCCATTACTTGTACCTAAGGTGGGAGTTTCAGCTCTTTTTCGTAGCAGCGTCTCTGCTGGAAACGACCAATCCAACAGAAACACATCACCCCAAAAGCAGAACCTACTTCCTTTTTTGTTTGCATATCTTCTACTTTGTAAACTGCGCCACATCCACCTTCACCGAGTTTTCTGAGTATTCGCCATCGTTTGCTTATAACTTTTCCTTTAGGTATTTGAACGGGTCCGGAGTCTGATACTGAAATGTATCCTTCATGATCACCTGCATGATTCACATGAAATAGATGTTTCGCTCAAAAATTAGAACCGAGAACCCTGGACAAACGCACACTACCATAGTAAAACGAACGTGTAATTACAATGAAGTAGAAACTGACCCATCGCATAGGGAGAAGCAAGTATATTCGCGAACAGCGCTCTACTAGAATACGGCATACCCGCGGCGACTACACAAAATAGAATGAATAAGCGTTATCGAGCTGATACTTGACAATGCTTCATTATCTTTCCAGTGTAGGGAGCATCACGATCATTGATTTAATTATCTCTACTAATGTTGTACAAGAAACTCTTACATTCGTGTCAGACTCCAAACAGCAAGAAAAAGCAAGGACGCAAAGAGATGAGTAACGCTGAGAAAAGGGAACAGAGAGAATAATCATTTGCATCGCACGTCGGCATCATTTTCGTCGGTCTTCTCGAGCGGGCGCCTACTACGTTTCCATTTGTTCGTGTCGCGAGCCAGAGCTGTCCAGCGGATCATCCTCGCTCGAGGGACACGAAAAAAAGCGTTACTTCCGATCAATGTTTTCTTGAAGAAGTCCAATCACCGCGCTAACAGCCGTCCTCGTCTTCGTTTGCCGCCCCTGAGAGACCTAGCCAGTTACCGCCCTGGTTCAGAGGCCATCACCTATGGGATAGCATGACCAGCCCACCGGTCTTCGATTTCTTGGCGTAAGTGTTGACATCTCTGATCCCATTTGTTGATGGAACTAGAATAGGGAAATTCCGAGCATCGTCCTCTCCAAAGTGTGTTGAATGAGTTGACAGCATATTCATCTTCTTTACATAAAGTTCAAGTTTCCGATGCGCATGTCATAGCAGCAGGGACAGCTAGAACTCTAATCGGCAGGGTAAATTTTGAAAATTATGGGAGACCAAATCCGCCTTATGGAACTCCCTATGGAACTCTTCGACCCAGCTAGGAACTTTTTTTATGAAATCCCGGTTTACTGCGTTCGCATGCGGATTCATTGGGACTGACCTCATCAAAAAAATAGTGAAGTAACATCAACAGCCTTTTTGCTGCTATTGTCCATTCACTGAATTAACCCAGTATTTCAGTGATAACCGATTTACCCTTTACAGTCCCACGTTGTAAAAAAGAACTTTCTCGTTCTGCTCCTGATGGCGGAAATTCTTGAGCTTCAGCAATTTTTCAAAAAGCCCGCAAAAGACAAAGGGGATGCTTATCGGTCTTCAGTTGGAGATACCCGAAAAGGTTCTTCTTCAGAATTGGAGTGAGGTGTGAATATTTTTCATAATAAGGAACTTTTTAATTATCGATTGATTGGATAAATGTAAAGAGAGAGCACAACAGCATATGCTACATTTTTGGCAAATGCAATATGGTCTAAAATAACGGAAAATAAGCAAGCACTCAAACATAGCATCGTAGATATCGTTGGGATCATAGTTATGGGGAAAGTATCAATTCAAAATGGTGGAAGTGGCGTGGTGCAAATGGTAAAAGGGTGTGGTGCAAATGGTGCCTGGCTATCATTGTCNCTTGAAAATCAGTTGCTCAAGCTGAATATAAAAGTATTGGCCTTGTCACTGGCATACAAAAGTGAGTACAATTGCTATTTGGATTAATGAACTGTGTAAGAGCTGGCATTTCTCGTTAAACGATTAAGAGGGCAAGGGTTAGTCATCCGGCAGTTCGCAGACCACTTGCAAGCTTACAGGGCATTGCGGGGAAACCATACGGCGAAGGAACAACATCGGACCGACGACGAGTAAGAGCCAAGAAGGGTCACTGAAAGACAAGCCCGGCGGTCTTGGGTCGAGGACGCCCTCCTTCTTTATTACTGTACTGTATATGTCCGATGACTATGCTCAATAAAGTGTTAGCTGTATTCCTGTCGTTATGGATACAAGAGTCTGGAGTAATGTAGCCAGGAATTAAGTTGTAGCAGCAAGGCTTCTCACCAGCCGGGTAACGCTAATGCCTTTTTGTATGATGTGATTCTGCTAGAAACTAGTGCCGAGAGTTTTGTTCTTTTTTCTTTCGATTCTGGTCGATCGACTCTTTAATAATCTGTACGTGTCCGCTGACCCCATTGTTTGACACACAGGGGACTTTTCTGATTCAACTCCTTACCGGCAGGTAGTTGTTCAGAGACTTCGTCAGAAGCAGCAGTACACGGTTTTTCCTCTTTATTCCTTCTTCATAATCCCTTATTCTCGATTCTTTCCTACTTCCTTTTCATCTTGGCACTTTTCCTCTTTAGTAGACATGCTTTTTACCTACTTTCCTTCCACTTTTATCATTGTTTTGCTTTCTCCATAGTCAAGTCATGGGCCTGTCAGCCCATGTAGTAGAGTATGAGGGGCCCTGTATCGTTTGTTCATTCTATTCAGATCGGGCATTCAGTACGACCCAATTGTCGAGTAGATTAGTGCGTATTATAAGGGGAAGAACAGTTCTTTTTCCATTAGCTCCAAGCAGTTTCGTGTTCGGATTAGTACGTGTAGAGGAGGCCGTGATGTACTCTCCTCTACTCAGTGACCGCCGGTTCGGGGCTTCAGGCTTCGGTTATATTAGGCCCCCGCACGTTTTCTCCTTTTTTTTTACCTGCTCTGATCGGTTTTCAGGTTCTTATTTATTCTCTTCGTTCATTTTATTCTTCTTATGAGGAATTTTTTACCTCTTCCTTGAGCTCTCCTTTTTTGGTTTTCTCTGTTTCATTCACTGTTGCGGTTTTTGGTGAAAATGTAGTTGGGGGTAGGGAGGAGAGCCACCCATCCGAAGGTCAGTATATCAAGAAATGAACTCAGT